GCGCCTGGCTGGCGAGGTCGTGCCGCTCGGATCGGTGGCGGTGGCGGTGGCGGAGCGCGGTGTGGGCGAAGGACGCCCGGGGCCCCGAGTTGGTGGTGGTGGTTCGGCGACTGCAAATGGCGTGGTTACGCCAGGGTGTTGTTTGTGATCGGCGCCGTTGGGGCCTGGGGGGCACGACACTGTCCTCGTCGGGCCTCCTCGGGGCGCGGCGGAGAGCTCTGTCGACCTCCCCGCCCGCACCCCAGGGTGCCCCCCGCGGTGCCGGTTGCAAGCCGCATCTTTTGCAAACCACTTTTTTCGGAGTCGCCGAGTGGTACTCAGCTCATGGTCTCCCTTTATTGCTGCAACGATTGCTCCATGACCGCCGTGCGCTATCAAGATGGGAAATTTCTCAGGCGGGATTCGAAATCGCCCCCCTTCGACTGGTTATCGAACGAGGATAATGTTCGGGTCGAGATGCCAAACGAAATCAGTCAATGGAGTGATCAGTGCTTAGAGAAGAGAAGGAGGGAGGCAGTCCAGGGTGGGGGACGAGGAGCAGGGGCATTGGGGTCCCAGGGAACGGTCGAGAGCTCCACGGGCTGCCGACTCGAATCAATTGAGTAGTCGGAAATCTGGAGCCATGGAGGAGGACCCTCTTCCTCCTTCGCCTCCGAGCTCTCAATCATGTTTGGTCCTCGATTTGAACCCGCAGCGCTGATTGTCTCCTCACTCCCGCCTTCCTTTCCTCCCCCTCCTCTTCCCTTCTCCAACTCCTCTTTCACCACTTCCTCTTCCTCCTCATCCTCCTCCTCTTCCTCCTCCTCCTCTTCCTGCCCTTTCCAATTTCGTTGCGCCCCGCACGCGGATCGTTCCCCACGGTGAGCTCCGCCGACGTCCCCAGCGGGCGCGCCCGCATTGCGCCTCCCCCCCTCAGCCGGGGAGTCGTGTCGACCGGCGGCGACCCCGCTGCGGGCGTTCAGACTTCCTTCCGTTCGGTGTTCCTCCTCGCCGCCGAAAACCGCCGCCCCGAAAAAACCAGCGCTCCCGCCCTTGACTTCCTTCCGTTTTGCGCTGGGCTGGCGCTCTACTTTCTTTTGAATTGGCGCCGCTCCCAGCAAGAACAACGCTCCCGCTCGAGATTTACTCTCTTTTTCTTCGGGACGGTGCTGTTCCTCGCCGCCGACAGCCCCCGTCCCGACAAAACCACGGCTCCCGCTCGATGCTTCCTCCTTTCTTACTCAAGGCGGTGTTCCTCCTCGCCGCCGAAAGCCGCCGTCCCAACAAAACCAGCGTTCCCGCTCGAGACTTCGTTTTGTTTTACGCTGGACAAGCGCCCTGCTCTCTTCAGCATTGGCGCCTCCCAGCAACAACAGCGGCCCTGCTCGAGACTTCCTCCCTTTCTATTCAGGGTCAGGTCCTTGCCTCGCCGCCGACAGCCCCCATCCCCACCAAGGCAACCCTGTCGCTCGATACTTCCTTGTGCTTTACCCTTCGCTGGGGTTCCACTGGCGGTCTCGCATCGGCGCAGCAAGGCGCGGGCATGTGTTTTTGAGGCGGGATACGTTGAATTTCATCGGTGGAGGTGTTTGCAAGACCTCATTGGGCGGGAGATCTGGGAACGGAAATAACGGACCCCGCTATAGAACCATAATCCCCCATGATGTGGATGGTTATCATGATGGTCGCATGCTTCATGTGGAAACATCTCGCATGAGGGTAAAACGTTTTTTTTTGTTGTTGTTGTTGTTGTTGTTGTTGTTGCTGTTGTTGTTGTTGTCGTTGTCGTTGTCGTTGTCGTTGTCGTTGTTGTTGTTGTTGTTGTTGTTGTTGTTGTTGTTGTTGTTGTGGTTGTTGTGGTTGTTGTTGTTGTTGTTCTTGTTGTTGTTGTTGTTGTTGTTGTGGTTGTTGTTGTTCAATGTTATTTATCAAACAATTATTATTATTGGATCCCCCCAGGCGCCTTGGCGCTCTCGCCTCTGCGCTGGCTTCATCTTTATCCAAAGTGAGGCTCACGTTCGAGCGGCTTGGGGGGTCGCCAAACCCGGCCCCCCAACAACAACAACGCTCTCCTTTTTTACTCAGGGCCGGTGCTCTTGCTCGCCGCCGAGAGCCGCCGTCCCAGCAAAACCAGCGCTACCGCTCGGGACTTCCTCCCGTTTTATTTTGGACTGGCGCGCTACTTTTTCTCTCATCGGCGTCGCCCCCAGTAACAACAACGCTCCTGCTGGAGATTTCCTCACTTTTTTACTCAATGCGGTGCTCCTCCTCGCCGCCGAAAACCGCAGTCCCAATAAATCCAGCGCTACCGCTCGGGACTTCCTCCCGTTTTACCTTGGACTGGCGCGCTACTCTTTCTCTCATCGGCGCCGCCCCCAGCAACAACAACGCTCCCGCTCGAGACTTCCTCCCTTTTTTACTCAAGGCGGTGCTCCTCCTCGCCGCCGAAAACCGCCGCCCCGAAAAAACCAGCGCTCCCGCCCTTGACTTCCTTCCGTTTTACGCTGGGCTGGCGCGCTACTCTTTCTCTCATCGGCGCCGCCCCCAGCAACAACAACGCTCCCGCTCGAGATTCCCTCCCTTTGTTACTCAAGGCGGTGCTCCTCCTCGCCGCCGACAGCCCCCATCCCGACAAAACCACGGCTCCCGCTCGAGACTTCCTCCCTTCTTACTCAAGGCGGTGTTCCTCCTGGCCGCCGACAACCGCCGTCCCAACAAATCCAGCGTTCCCGCTCGAGATTCCGTTTTGTTTTACGCTGGACTAGCGCCCTTCTCTCTTCAGCATTGGCGCCTCCCAGCAACAACAGCGGCCCTGCTCGAGACTTCCTCCCTTTCTATTCAGGGTCAGGTCCTTGCCTCGCCGCCGACAGCCCCCATCCCCACCAAGGCAATCCTGTCGCTCGATACTTCCTTGTGCTTTACCCTTGGCTGGGGTTCCACTGGCGGTCTCGCATCGGCGCAGCAAGGCGCGGGCATGCGTTTTCGAGGCGGGATATGTTGAATTTCATCGGAGGAGGTGTTTGCAAGACCTCATTGGGAGATCTGGGAATGGAAATAACAGACCCCGCTATAGAACAATCATCCCCCATGATGTGGATGGTTATCATGGTGGTCGCATGCTTCGTGTAGAAGCATCGCGCATGCTGGTACAATGATTGTTGTTGTTATTGTTGTTGTTGTTGTTGTTGTTGTTGTTGTTGTTGTGGTTGTTGTTGTTGTTGTTGAACATTATTTATTCTAAAGAATAATTATTGTTGGGCCCCCTGGTGCGCGCCCCCCCTGCGCCGCCTAGGCCGCAGCTACATTTTCATCATTTTCGTGAGGAAGCCTCAGAAAAGAGGGTGTGTACAGGATCCGGTTGTTTTGTTGTAATCCGCTTTCCCTTGCAAAAAACAATAGAAAATGACATTTCTTGTTCTAATATAATCAAATTTCAAGAATCCCTTGCAAAAAATAAGGTAAAGTGGACATTCGCGCGCGCAAGACGAAATCCTTCCAAAACCTTAGTGTTCGCAGCGATTTTAACATAAAAACATCAAAAAACCAATGGTTTTTCAACAAAAAATTGTCAAAATCTCATCCCGCGCGCTCTTGCGGATTCGTAGGAAACCCAACACTTTTTAAACATTTCTGTCAAACGGGCTTTTGCGAGCAACTTTTTCGAACTTCTGCGACAACGGTTGCGCACCTGCCAGGGCCATCATCCCTGTCAAATAATACCATGCGGGACACATTCGTTTTTTCTTCGCGCGCGCACGCCGTCGTCGTCGGCCGCGGGGCCCTGAATAGTAGCCACGGTCGTCCGCATGCCACGAAGTGAAGTGTCCGAACGTCATAGGGCGGGAAGCTGGGTGTGGGTGGTGGCGAAGAGTCGTTTGGAAATTTGGTAGAGCTTGAACCGGCCCCCCCACAAAGTGGGGGTATTGCCCGCCTCCTATGAAAACCCTGGCACTGGTGAGAACGGAGTGTCCCCACGTGCTAGTAATTGTTGTTGTTGTTGTTGTTGTTGAGGTTGTTGATGATGTTGTTGTTGTTGTTGTTGTTGTTGTTGGACAAGGCGCGCGTGGGAGCCCCGGCCGCCCCCCCCCCCAGCAACCGAGCAACCGAGCAACCCTCTCTGGGGGTCTCCTGGGGGCGCCAAGGATTCCCTAATCGGATTTCTTTGGAATTCTATAGGCTTCCATAGGAATTCTATAGACCTCCCTCGGAATTCTATAGGCCCCCATCGGAATTCTATCGGCCCCCATAGGAATTCTACAGGCCCCCATGGGAATTCTATACGCCTCCATCGGAATTCGATGGGCCTCCGTAGGGATTCTATAAGTCTCCATCGGAATTCTATATCAGCTCCCATAGGAATGTTATCGGCCTCCATCGGGATTTTATATGCCTCCATCGGAATTCTATAGGCCTCCGTAGGAATTCTATAGCCCCCCCCCATAGGAATTCTATACGACCCCATCGGAATTCTATAGGTCTCCATCGGAATTCTATAGGCCTCCATAGGAATTCTATGGGCACCCATACACATTCTGCAGGCGTCCATAGGAATTCGATCGGCCCCCATAGGAATTCGATAGGCCGCCATGGGAATTCTATTTGGGCCTCCATCGGAATTCTATAGGCCCTCCATACGGATTCTATATAGACCTCCATCGGAATTCTATAGGCCTCCATCGGAACTCTATAGGCACCCATAGGCATTTTATAGACCTCCTTACGAGTTCTATAGGCCCCCATCGGAATTCTATACTCCTCCATCAGAATTCTGTAGGCCTCTATCGGAATCCCATAGCCCTCCATACGACTTCTATATAGGCCTCCATCGGAATTCTATACGCCTCCATAGACATTCTATAGGCCCCTATCTGATTTCTATAGGCCTCCATCGGAATTCTATAGGCCCCCATTGGAATTCCGAAATTGGCGCAGCCGCTGGGGCCTTCGGCGGAGCTCCCCGAGGGGGGCCACGATCCTCGTGAGGGGTGTGCCGAAATTGACGCTGCCGCTAGGGCCTTCGGCGGAGCTCCCCGATTGGGGGCCACGATCCACGTGAGGGGTGTGACGAAATGGGCGCAGCCGCTGGGGCCTTCGG